CCCACCGGCACAGCTGTGCACCCCGCAGGGAACTGTAGTTACCACCGAGGCTGTTAGGGCTGCAAAACTGGTGGTTTAGGGGTCCGGAATGTAGGAAAATGCTGTATATTTCTGCGTTCTGCTCTTTAAACTGGCCCCTGCAGGACCTTTAGTCTGTACATAAAGGATGCATGTTGCTCATACATAAAGGTTTTCTAACAGGAAAGTTTATTCACATAAGATTTTTTTATAGATTTAGTTACATAACTGACTGAGCAATACCCAGATGTGGGTTTTGGGGTAAATTACCCCAAATTTGAGCACTCAAAAGCTGAAGTTCCCCAGGACCAGCTGCTGCTGCCTCCCCTGTGGCACTCCTGTTAAGCACTAAAGCAAACTGAACTCCACAAAATCACTTTTTTTTTTTGCAGTCCTGCAACATTTTCCGATTTTTTTTTGCTGCTGCACAAATTAATTATTACAGCTAATTATTATTAATTATTACACTATCCCTAAATACTCATATGAATTATGGAAGGAATTGTTAAATTCCAACTGTGTATATTCCAACAGTCACGGCCATGCTCCTGCACAGGTTTTCATTTCTCTTACAGATAAAATACCCACATGTACCTGCACATGCAGGTTTCATATTCCCAAGATGAATATATTGATTTATTTCCTTGGTCTGTGGGATGCCCAGAGCTCCCCAGAAGCTGTTGGGACTCTGCATTCCCACTGAGCAGGGATGGATGGATTTCCCCCGCAGCTCTGCCATGTGAGCTTTAGCACCACTCAAACACTGCCCGAGGTCCCTGCAGTTAAGGGACACTCAGGACTACAGAGGCTCTTTTGTGTGAGACAAGGATCTTATCCAGGTGGGTGGTGCCCCAAGGTCCTGGAAGTGCTTGGCTGATTAATAAAGTGATTAATTAAGTCTGTGTGACGCTGCTGGTGATGCCTTGTGCAGGCTGCCCTAGAGCAGAGGCTGGGGACAGTTTCAGAATAAAGCAGGGATTTATTCCAAGGATCTCCTCCATGGATGCACCTTGGGCAGCAGCAGAGCCCAGCCAGGGCTGCACCCAAGATGAACCAAAATGGCCCCAAAATGCACGAGGGGCACGGGCTCTGTCCCTGGGATCAGCTCTGCTCCATTTGCACCTTGCAGTTCATTGTCCCATCCCAGCTTTAGCCCAGGCAGTCCCACCCTGCTTGTTTTTCTCTCTCCAGCCCATGGGGTTTGTGCTCTGGGCTGAGATTTGGGTCATTTGTCCTTGGTGCCCAGCTGGAGCAGGAATTGTTTTGTCTCCTGCTCTGTGCACAGAGCTCAGCATCCCTGATGTGAGCCCAGCCCCACACACTAAAGCAGCACAGAGTGTGAAAATAGAAAAGCCAAACCCTGAGGTGTCAGTGGTTTGAGGCATTGAGGAGTTGCTTCAGTGGAAGCTGGAAGGTGCTGGGCAGTCAAACCTGGGGCTGGAATGAGAAAATGTGGGAGTGTTTGGCCTTGGGGCCGGGTTCCAGGCTGGTGTGACACAGAGGTGCCCTGACCCTGCTGCTCACCTCAGCCAAGGCCTGCCCTGCCAAGGTGTGCTGTGCAATCTGCTCCAGCAAACAGGAGAAAAGACTTTTTATACCCAAGCGTTTTACAGGCTGACTCTAAGTCCACGTTAGGTAATTCCTCATTTCATGTGTTAGCTGAACTCCAGGTGTGCTGTGCCTAGGAATGCCATCAGTGACATCAGAAGGCTGAGATCTGGGGTAAAGCCAGGCTTGGGGACGTTGCCAGCTCATGGTTTGACTTTTCAGGGGCAGTAACTGAGTGAAGGAGGGAAGGGAGATCTTTGCAGAGCAAATTTGAGGGACTGGAAGTGCCCACAGCATTTCTCATGGTGGTGATGGGGCTTTGGTCTGTGTGATACATCTTTTTTTTTTTTGGCTAATGAAGCAGCCAGCTCAGTTTCCATAGGTATAATCATTACTTTAATACTCAAGTGCAGTACATGGGTGAACCCAACACCTCTCAGAACACTCAGCACTCACTTGGAACAGCTTTTCCTGCTCTTTTCCCTGTGTGGGGAACAATTCCCGAATTCTCCCTTTAAAGAGGTCTGTGCTGAGCTGTTGTGCAGCCCAGCAGGGCTCAGGGTCAGGTCTGCTTCCTGGATTTTTAAAATTAAAATGAAAACTTCCCGTTTTACTTTTTCTGCTGGTAATTTCATCTGATTACATATAACCCTCAGCCTGCTGTAAATAATTTCTCTCCCTTAACATACTCACAAATTGCTCCCTAATTCCCCATCATCTTTATTTTAACCAAACCATGCTTGTGTCATTTTTAATTTCCACTCTAAATTAGTTCTCCCTGGCTTTGAGAGACAAAGCCAATATAATTGTGAGACATTCTGAGTGATATTTAAGCTTCCCCTCTGCCACCTGGATGGAAAACTGGGGTGAAATCTTAGCTGCAGCTCTGTCAGTTGATTGATTTCTTTTAATTAGGCAACACAGTCACACTTCTGCCTCTTCTTTCTTCCCTCTCACCTTTCACTGGTGAGTTCATCAGCTGCAATCCCAGTCCAGGTCGTTGTTGGATCCAAAGTTTGGGGCACAGGGAGGAATCCAGGCAGTGCCAAGCCCTGGATGCCAGGACAGCAACAATTACAAAATGCCCCTGAAGCCATGATTTATTTTCAGGAAGCAGGAGCTGCCCTGCTTGGGAAGAAGCTTCCCCCAGCAGCCTGACATGGAGCTGTGCTGCCTCAGAGACACCCACACAGCTCCATCTCCAACCTGCCATCCCTCAGCTCCCTCAAATCTCCTCTTCACCAGCCTCTCACCCGCTCAGATTTTTATGCCCCCTCTTAAAATACATCTCCTTGTCAGTGCTTAACGCGGGGAAATTCTTCCAGCAGGAAAAGGTTTTCTGTTTAAATGTAAGGAAATGGGGATTATTTTTTTCTGTATCTCTCCAAAGCCACAGTAACACCTAATTAAATATTGATGGCAGCTTAGCACGCTCCATAAAGGAGCTGTTGTCTCATGAAGCCTCACTCCATGCAGCAAAGGAGGGTTTCAGGCACAGGCCAAAGGAGGAGCAGGTGCAGGAGGCAGTGATTCCTGACGTAGGGCCCAATGTGCAAAATCAAATGATGTCCAATACTATGGACTTCACAGCCATGTGTTACAAAAATAGCTGTGCTGGGAGACCAGAAATCTTCACAGGCACAGCCAAAAATAACCACATGGAATGCCTGGAAGGAGCAGATTCCCCAGAGATGGGATTGCTGGAGTCCTGCAGGCAGCCTGGAGTACAGAGCACGATTCCCAGCAGGGGAAAACCTCCCCAACCTTTGGCTGTTGCTGAATCATATAAATCAATTTCCAGAGCCTGCAGCCATATCAGTGATAGGCCTATAAATCTGTCAGGGCTCTGGTATTGTTAGAGTTATTCTGTGAGTTTTGGTGCAGATTGTGTGCACACAATGTGCTCTTTCAGCAGCCTTGGATCACACGGGGACCTCGGGGTGGGAAGTTCTGCAGCCCACGCCGGGTAAAACTCATTTTATTCCTGAGGAATGGGACTCTTGGTCAAAGTCCCCACACAGAAAAGGTAAGAAACCATTCAGACTAATGAGAATACTGGCTATAAAAGGTCAGGACAGGACTGGCTTCAGGCACAAGGAATAGAAAGGAATATTTAGGGATTTTATTGTTTGTGATCCCCATGGTTCATGCAGACTCTGTGCCCTTTCACAGCCAGAAACAGGAACAAATTGTCTGACTTGCTTTACTCCACAGGAAAGGAAATCTGACTCTTCCCACAGCAAGCAGCCTGGGAACGTCACAATCCCTGAATTATGCCTGCTTGACGAGCTACATCTGCTTTGAGAGCATCTCGGATCATTTCATAACCCTTCCTTTCACTGTGCTGCTGCCTCGGGGCACGTGGGAACAATTTGGCCACTGCAGAACTCCAGTCCCTGTGGGAGCAGCACCTCTGCAGGGCTGTGCCTGGCTCTGGCAACCAAACAGGAGGAGTTTGGGCAATTTGATGTCAGACTGAGGGGTGAGGCAGCAGCAGAGCCCCTGTCCTCTGTCAGGGGTCAGACCCAAGCTTGGCCACAGAGCAACTCATCCCCACCTGGGCCTTACAGCAGCTCCAG